AATTTTTGAGATGGACTCTAATTTGATTGTTTAGAACCTCGGCTCTATATAAACTTTTCCTTTATAAAATTGAAACACTTACAAGCCTAGCAAGCACTCTTGAATGGAAATTCATAACACATGGTTTTCCAAGAGGTGACAATAAGCCCGGTTGCCCAGCGTAGCTTGGTCAAACCAGCCCTGAAAAACTATAGTCCTAGGCTATAAATATGGCCGAGGATCATGCTGACCCAAGGCAAGAGAGGCCTGGCCCATTTGAGCTAGGTGTAGCTCTTATTTTTTTTATCTGTTTACCTTTGGTTTTCTTTAATTTTACCCCGCCCTGGTGCGGTCACAATAGGGCAAAGGCTGGGTTTGGGCCAACCCTCAAGGGAATAGAGCTGGGCTGGGCCTAGCCCTTTGCCAGCCTTATTTGTCCCTAGTGTGTAGGCAACCCTAAGCTAGGTTGCGGCTTGGACCACTGGCCGTAACCCACGGGTCTGGTTTGGCTGACTCGGGCCTGGTTGAGCTTGTATTTACAACGTGGAACCTAGGTTTGGCGTGGCCTAATAACTCAACCTAGGACCACGAAGTTAATTATAAGATGGAGCTCATCTGAGCCTCGCTAGTTAAGAAAAGGACAAAATAAAAAGAAAAAGAAAAATGGAAATGTTGGTTTTGAATTTGAGTTGTAAGGTTAAAATGATCAACACTGACCAAGGACATCCATGTCCTAGTGTTCTACAATAACATTTATATTGGGAAAAAGTTTATATAAGGTTTCAACCTTATATCATACAGATAAGGTGCACCTGAAACCCCATTAGAGAAGGTTGTTCCTATTGTGGACAAATTGATCATCTCAACATCGAGATTCATAGCCATGAAAAAAAAAAGATTTGTAGTCCTAAAACTAGTTCGTCTTTTTACACATTATCTGAACTGTCTATTTTCAATATTTTTAAATCTATATAGATCTGCTTGATCATAAATTTTATAATTGGGGGGCAAAAATAGATTTTCATATCATTGTAAGGGTTTGCAGCACCAAAACTACATATTCAGGATAGTTTTGACGCGCACCTTATACAAACCTTACCCTTTATATAGTCAAGCAACTATGAACCTGGTGTGGCCCATTGGACATATGACGCATTCTCAGGACTGACCTCATAACCGCATCTATCAATCCATCACGGCCTGGTTTCTAGGCCGCCTGTCGCTATTTCAAGCGTAAATTTAAGGCAAGACGGTGCTCAACAAGTTTCTATTAGAACTTAGATCTAGCCCGCCTGGCATGCTCGAACCCTCAAGCCAAACCTAGCCCACTTGCAGCTCGGTCATTCAATAATGTACTATACGCAAGATGTGTTGGAATCCAACACACATCTATAGTCACAAGGGTTACCACCATCAGTCCAATTAGTGGATCAATGTTAGAGGGAGACCAATTAGAACCACCACCGAATTTTGATGTGTCCTTCCTGACCCCCTTCTACCTCCTTATCCCACATTTTATGGGATATTAATGAACCTCATGGCCATGGATTTCTTGACGGAAGCTGATAAGCCCCGTGATCATAGATGTTCTTATGGATGCTGAGTTAAATAAAAGAGAATTTATAAAAAAAAATATATCTTAATTTTTGGATTATTGGAAATAAATCCTAAACTTTTAAAACATCATATATATCCTTTTTTTTCACTTTTTGTGTTTTTTAATCAAAATGGCCTTCATGATAGTCTTAGAACCATGAACACATCACGGTAGATTTACTTCCATGATGATCATGGATGGTTTAATGTTTTGAGGCATTATGGCCTTCAAACAATCATGATGGTTGTTTAGAGGTATCATGACACTTAAAAAATAGTGATGGTCGTTAAGGCATCAAGGCACTTAAAAAGTTGTGATCCTAGGTAAGGGTTATAACAATTAAATTAGAATTTTGACAATCCAATAAACTATCATGGTTTTTTAAGTGTGGTGATGCTTCAAAACTACCTTTGACTTACAAACCGCCATGACCATCACAATCGTGATGCCTTCACAGTTCTAAGACTACTGTGAAGGCTATTTTCGTCTACTCACTCAAAAAAAAGGCCCTGAATGAGGTTTTGAAAAGTTTGGGGTTTATTTTCAATAATTCAAAGATTAAGGTACATTTTTTTAATTTCCCTAAATAAAAGAAATTTGTTCTACACTATTCGAAATTTTGGGAAACGAACAAAAATATCTCTCAAAGTTATGGATATTTCTAAAATACTAAAACCTCGCATTATTTATACTCTTACGCATTTTCTTGCATTTTTTGTTTAATGACTACATTGCCCTATTTACGATGCAAATCGAATAGATCTTCAGAGAAAGATCCCTCAGATCCGTACTACAAACTGATTTTTTAAAAATGATAGAGAGTGCCGAAAATTAAATTTTGATATGAGGCCAGATCTACTAAAAAACGAATAGATCCGCTCTCAGATCAGTGGCAGAGCCAATATCGATCCAAAAAGCACGAAAGATTGAATAAAATAAAAATAAAATCCTAGATCCAACAAAATAACTGAAAAAATAAAGGAAAAGGGGATGAAAAATCTAAAAGCACAAAATATTGGATGAAATAAGAATAAAATCTTAGATCTAACAAAATAACTGAAAAAAAAAAAGGAAAAGAGGATGAGAAATCCAAAAGCACGAAATATTAAATGAAATAAGAATAAAATCCTAGATCAAACAAAATAACCGAAAAATAAAAGAAAAGATGATGATGAGGAAAATACCTGGCTAGGGACGCTCGAGGCTTCAATGTCTTACCTGTATCAGAACCACGGCTGTGTACGTATGTCATCTGTTATTCTCTCTTCAAACTTGACCAAATCTTGGCTTGGTTGAAGTAGAGTTTTGCTAATCTAGGCTAAAAGTTGATTTCAAAGAAAGGGGACGGCTAGCGCTTAAGGTTGCTTATCTAGGTCTAGGGTTATTCTCTGGCTTTCAGATTTACCGCCCGATGGGTTAACAAAATCCACCCTAAATGGGTCACAAAATGTGTTTATATAAAGACTCAAATCATACTAAAATGGATATATATTTGCCAGCCAAATTTACATTTTGGGGTAAAAGAGAGCCCAAATCTGACCAAAATTAGCAATTACGTTTTTGTGATATTGCCTACAAAAAATCAGGCAAAAATAAGTTGTTTTGCTATTTTTACTTGATTTATTACTAAAACAATGATCTTATAGGATTTTGGATCACAGAATAGAGATCACAGACTATGATGGTCTATAGTTGGGGTGTTTACTGGGACAATGTGGTCTTAAGGGTTCAAGAGTATTACATAATTTGCCGGTTTTTAAAAATGTTGTGTCTACATGCCCTCATCTCAGATTAGATATAATTCATAGAGCTACAAAGCACCACGGTTTTCATACAAACCATGGTGCGCCACATACATTGTTAGAGTTGAAGGGTGCCTAAGGCACCATCATGGATATATTAGGTCCATGGCGGCACCACAATGGACCTACTAGCCTGAAGGTGCCTAACACACCATCATATACCTGCTAGATATGTGGTTGCTGAACGCTCCTCCACCTTCCAAGAGATGTGACGGTGCCAAAGGCATTGTAATAGTACCGCCAAAGACCTGCTCAAACCATGGTGGTGCCAAAGGGTCCTATGAGCGGGGAGATGCTTGGGGGTGTGGGTTTAAACAACCTCCACGGTTCTATAAGAATTGTAGGTGCTTTTGTAGCGCTACAGATGTATTAAATATGTGATGAGGACAATATAGTCATCAAACAAAAACATTGGAGGAAAAATGGGTATGAGTGTAATTTATATGAGGTTATAGCATTTTAGTAGGGTATAGATTTTAGTATTTTAGTCTATTAGTATATTTTAATAAAGGGAAAAGTTTATATAAGGTTGCTACCTTAAAATGTGGAATTACAGATGCACCTAAAAAATCTATTGGAAATGGTTGTTTTAATATTAAAAGACCCTCTAATTGATCATCTTGAAATCGAGATGTACAAATGTATAAAAAAAAAGATTTTGAGTTCTAACAATAGTGCATCTTGCAACACATTATCTAGGCCGTCAATTATCAAGATTTTCACATGTTTATAGATCTACATGATTTTAACCATTTTTGAAGTTTAAAATTTTATAATTAGATATGAAAATATATTTTTAGATAATCCTAAGAATTTTTTCCCCCAAAATTACATGTTATTATAAAATTTGAAAATGTGTCTTAAGTGGATTGTTTAATGTTGCAACCTTATAGAAACCGCACTGTTTAGTAAATCATATTATTTGATATCAAATATAATAATATGTGACGTGTTACAAATTTGAGATTTTTTTTTAATATTTTGACATAGTTAATCCTACACCTTCAGCCACACCAATTTCAAATCACGTCCTTTGATTTCAAAATTGAAGGCGGTTTTGGCTCGTTCTAGTTTTGGTTGATTTGGGTGGAACCGGTCAAGTATTTTTTAAAAAAAATTATATAAAATATCAAAAAATAAAAGATTTTGTTTGTAATGTATTTGTTAATGTTTTTTATCATGTTGAAAACGATTGGAAATTGTTTTGGCCTTTAATATTTATTTTTATATTTTTTTTGATCTTTTTAAAAATTTCAAAATTATCTTTGGGCACAAATCAATTGTTTAATATATATATATATATTTTTTATTTTTAACTTTTTATTTGGATATGTTTTGTTTAATCATAATTTAAATATATTTTTTAAAGTTTTTTAAGATTTTTTAAACCATCGGAAACTTGTTCGATTAAACGGGTTTATTTACCGATTCGGTCCGGCCCCATATCCGGTTAATCATTCATGTTCGATTTTTCTTACGGTTGTAACGTCCTCGTCCATGTACAAAAACTGATTTGGTTTAAGGCCAGGGCATTGCCAATTACGCCGTTGGGGTCCCACTTGGGATGTTTTTGCACCGCATTACGGCGGGCGCCTTTGAACTCTCTTTCCACTATTTCCATCTCTCACTTGCTCCATTGACCTGCTTACGCTCCTTCCGATTTCCAAACTAACTATGGTTAGTTAATTTCCCCCTTCCTTCCTCTCTGGAACGGGCCTCCTAGGGTTTGTTCATTTCTTCCCGTTCTCATCCATCCTCTGAACCCCACCCTTCTTCTCTGCCCTCTCTCTCTCTCTCTTTCTCTCTCTTCCTCCCGCCCCTTTTCTCTCATTTTCTTGATTTTCCCTCTCTCAAACCTCGCTCTTACATTTTCCTTCTCTCTTTTTAGCCCTAATTGCCGCTTCTCTCTCTGCCTCGCCAATTCTCTCTCTACAGGCAAACAAAGGTCGGATGGCGCAGTTTTTGTGTTGGTGGTCCAAGGGGCCTGTACTCGTACAGGGGGAGACAGCTCTAAATTAGGGTTTTTGGGGAGGGAAGGGGTGCTCTTGCTGGGATGGTGGGTGAAGAGAGAGATGGTAAAGACCATCAACTCCCTGCCCGCAAAACTTTCTGGCGTTCTGCCTCGTGGTCGTCCTCCCGCTCTACCCCTCCCTGCCCCCTCTCCCTCGACCCCAACGTAAGGCGCTCCCACAGCAACAACAACAACAGCAACTGCAAAGGTCGCTCTCTTCTCCCCCCGCTCCAACCCCTCTCAATCTCTCGCAAATGCCCCGACGAGTGGCCCAAGGCTGGCTCTGATGACCTGGGTGAGTGGCCCCAACCGCAAACACCTGGCGCCCCTAAACCTTCTGAACCTAATCGGCCTGCTAAGGCTGATTTTGAGCTTCGCCGGGATAAATTGGCCTTCTTTGACAAGGAGTGCTCCCGAGTTGCAGAGCATGTGTACCTTGGCAGCGATGCCGTTGCCAAGAACCGCGAGATCCTTAGGCAGAATGGTATCACGCATGTCCTCAACTGTGTTGGCTTTGTCTGCCCGGAGTACTTTAGGTCGGACCTAGTTTACAAGACTCTGTGGCTCCAGGACACACCCTCAGAGGACATCACCAGCATCTTGTATGATGTATTCGACTACTTTGAGGACGTGAGGTTGCAGGGGGGGCGGGTGCTGGTGCACTGCTGCCAGGGAGTGTCCAGGTCGACGGCCCTTGTGATTGCGTACCTCATGTGGCGCGATGGCCAGAGCTTCGAGGATGCCTTCCAGTTCGTGAAGGCAGCAAGAGGAGTCACCAACCCAAACATGGGCTTCGCATGCCAACTCCTCCAATGCCAGAAGCGTGTGCACGCTGTGCCTCTCAGTCCCAATTCTGTCCTACGCATGTATAGAATGGCTCCTCACTCCCCTTATGATCCATTGCACCTGGTGCCGAAGATGCTGGAGAGCCCGGTGGCATCGGCCCTTGACTCGAGGGGTGCTTTCATCGTGCATGTGCCATGGGCGATCTATGTGTGGGTCGGGTGCGTGTGTGATGATGTGATGGCAAGGGATGCAAAGGCAGCTGCATTTCAGGTTGTGCGATACGAGAGAGCAAGGGGCCCAATTGTTGTCATTGAAGAAGGAGAGGAGCCTGCTGAGTTTTGGGATGCACTCTTGAGAGGGCCAGTTTTGGCTGATGATTCAGACTTGAGACCAACTGTTGGAGAGGGTGTGGCTTTGTCATCGCAGAGGGAACATGTAGAAATGGTGAAGAAGTTCCCTATGGGGGCGAAGAAGGTGGACTCTTATGATGTGGATTTTGAGATATTTCGGAGGGCATTAACAGGCGGTTTTGTGCCTCCATTTCCATTATCAGGAAATGGTTCTGAAACCCGGCTTCCAGAGAGAGAAAATGGGTGGGGCAAGCTCAGGCGTAAGTTCGTTAGCGGGAATGTTAAAGAGTTGGGGTACGGATCAAGAATGAGCAGGTCACTAGACATTGATTCCTGTAAGGAAGAGGATGAACAGTCTCTCTCTGTGGATCCCCTTTCATTGGCTTCGCCGCCCTATCTGTCACCGAGTTCCTTCTCTACAGATTCAAGTTCAAGCTTGAAGGCTGATAGTTCGAAGTCACCCTCACCCTCTGAGTCTTCTCGTTCATCGACAGTGTCTCCTGCTTCATCGAATTGGTCTGATTATTCATTCCTTTCTTCGCAGTCCTCACCTACGATATCAGGTTTAGTGGAGCCTCTTGCTTCGAGGCACCCTCCAAAGCCTATTGCAAAGTCTGCTTCTCTTCCGCCATCAAAAGGAAACCTCCTATCTCTTGCAGCGAGAAGGGGAAGCCTTTCTCCGCCACTGATTTTGCCTCAATTGATTGATGAATCTTCTCGGTGTCTCTTCAGGGCAGAACGCTCTCTTTCTCTCTCCTCTTTTGAGGAGGACATGCCAAATAGAAGTTGTCAGTTTGATTTCAAAGGATTTGATAACTCTAGGAGAAGAGATTGGGATTTGGGAGCCAAAGAATTGGGTTCCAATGGAGACCAGGTGGTAGGTTTGACTCATCAGAAAGAGTTTAGTTTAAATCTAACAACACCAATATTATTACGATGGCCTGCTATCGAAAAAGTCGAAAGATTTGATATGGGTTTACTTGAATCAATGATGGTATTTCTTTTGTTAGTTCCAAATGTACAGTCAGGTGAACTTAAGCCTGAGTTGCTGTATGTCTGGGTAGGACGTGACATTGGAAATGTTAAAGAGGAGTTTCATTCAACTAGTGACTGGTCTTCATGTCACGAGGGTGAGATCAATTGGAAGGAGGTTGGCTGTAGTTTCATCACTCAGATGGGATTCCCAAGAGAGATTCCTGTACAGGTATGTATGCATGATGAAGCTATCAAGATACTATGTTTTCGTAAGTTCTGGTAAGATATGCTCATTAGGCATTCAAGATTCTGAGTTTTCATAAAGTACCGGTCTGACATAACCATTAAACATACGTTTTGGCTTTTGAAATTACCATTTCATTATTCTGGACTATCAATCATTTGTTTGATCATTGAAAGTTTGAGGAATTTTGCTTCTCCTTGCTTTTAAAAGTTGTTTGGTATGCACAGATATTGCATAGATTGCTGTTGAATTTACTTATGCATCCATTTATTTGAGTAATGCATTTTTGTATTGTCTTTTTTCCTCTGCATATGGTGAACGACTGAATGTAGCAACTTGTTGACAATGTTTAACACAAAATTACTAGCTGAATAGAGTCAAATGACCAATCAGGTGATTGACGTTGATTGTTTGTACGTATCTCATGTTATATCATATTTCCAGATATCACCATAGCATATCATGCTGATTAGCTGGTTATTTTGGTGAATTCCGGGGAATTGCTTAGGCATTTAAGCTCCCCTCTATCTGAAACTTCAAGTGCACTTCATTAGCTGCTAATTATTAAAAGTAATTCTGGAGCTTTTCTCACACGAGGCTGGAATTTAGTTGGAGCAAGTCTAGAACCGCATGCATCACATAGATATGCTCTTCCTGGATTATTTTTGTCATCAGAGTGAGTTTTAGTACTTACTTCCCTTAATTAAAGGCTGGCATTACTCTATATGGCCTATTGTTTCTCTTGTGGTGTCCTGTAAGCATGTCCCATAGATTTCCTTTTTTCTTTCTTGTGATGATATGTGCCTTGGATTTGTTACACTAGCTGCCTAAAAGAGGAGTGAAGTGGTACATTTGTCTCCTCATGTCTCCCGGTTTTAGGGTGAGTCCGTCATACTTGTATGAGAAATTCTCGATTGAACATAATCTTGTAATCCTTGTTGCAAAAGTTTACATTTGTCAGGATAAGGTGAGCTAACAAATTAGATTCCTTACAATGCCTATGATTAAATGGAGTATTCACAACGAGTTGTCATTTGTAGAAGTGTGTTTCCTAATTAAATGGAGTATTCACAACAAGTTGTCATTTGTAGAAGTGTGTTTCCTCCTTGAATTTGCCCACTTTGTAGCTAATAAGTGATAGATTTTCAATTCAGAAGACTAATTGCAATAGTCCTACAATGATAATGTGGGAATCAAGGTTGGAAAGTTGGTCCGCCTAGGCTGCCAGAGGTCTTGGGCACATCGCCCAGGCCTTGTTGCGCAGAATGGGGCCATGTCACAATGCACGCACCTAGGCAGGTCGCCTAGGTTCCTGCCTAGGCAGCTGCAAAAATTTAGAGAGGGGAGAAAATGGACCTCAAGTAGGGGCATATTTAGTCTTTTTGCCCCTCAAACCTTTGTATTAAAAGCATGGGTGTCATTTACACCCCCTCCCCCCTACCCCCCTACCCCCCTACCCCCCCCCAAACCTAAAAAAAAAAAGAAAAAAGAAAAAAAAAAAAAAAAAAAAACTTGGAGAACGAATTTCAAACCAAAAACACGTTCAAATCCAGATTTCTTGTGAGAAATCCAAGATTGAACATTGAACAAAATAAAAAAAATTCAATTTCTTGCAAAATAGAAAGGCATTTGCACCCAAACCTTTTGGGGCTGAAGTGGCTGTGAAAAAAGGCTTTTGAAGCGGTTGTGAAAAGAGGTTTTTGGCAACCATAACTCACCATTTTGAAGCTTGAAGGATTCCGTTTAAGAGGTTAGAGATTTTCAAGTTTTGGATTAGGGCTTTATGAGCAATTATATATTTCTTATGAGATATTTATACATATTATGTTTTTTCTTTTTAGTTTGTGGTATTTATGATTTGTTTTATCTTTAGAATGTAGATTCATATGGTTTTGATGTGTTTTAGACTTGTTTACAAATTTGGATTAGGATTTTAACTTTGTTTACAAATTTGGGGTTTGACTATTTGGTACAATTTATGATTACGAATGCATGGATTTACTCTTTGTTTCTTTTTTTTTTTTTTGACATTGGGTATTTTTAACTCATATCTAGGGGGGTTTGGTATTTAACCAAACCACTAAAAAACAAATTGACATTTGGGTGCCCATGTCTCTGGGTGCCCGACTGGATAGTTGCCTAGGCACCTAGAGGCCCCTCATCTCCAAGATGCTGCCAAGCGAGTTTTCCAACTTTGGTGGGAATTTAGTGATGATGAAACTTGAAAGCACTAGGTGAGGTATGTTCTTTCAATTCCCTGCAACATGGAAAAAAAATTGTTTTGCTTGCTGTGAACAAATTTTTTATGGTCAATTCGGGAATGCTGGTTGCTGAACTTTAGCTCGCTGGGCTACTATATGCAGTACCTTTTTGGCTAAAGTTGTTTCAGATGCTTGGGAGGAGTGCTTATATTATGTCACGAGAGCAATATACTTTGGGCACTGATGGTTTCTTAGGTCTTTTCATTAATATGTCTGTAGTTGGAGGTGGGAGCGGGTTCAAGAGTGGGATCGGTTCGGGGAACGTGGAACGCGGAACCGCCATATGGTGGAAGTTCCCTGGGGTTAGGATCGACATCCATACATTCAACAAGTTAATGAGCTAGATCCAAGGATACCTTGGAGCGATATCCCATGTCATTGGGATCAAGGTCTTGACTTGGAAGGATGTAAGCTCCACTATACATAAAATGAAATCAATTAATAGTACGTGATAAAATTAAGATCAAGCTATGCCCACTTGATCCATTATCATAAACCTTAGCTTATTGCCCAGTATTTCGAGACTCGACAGTGGTCACTTGTACTCGGCCGAGGTCATTCGGACTCGGCCTAGATCAATACACCTTAGCTTATTACCTAGTGTTTTGATACTAGACCGAGGTCACTCGGACTTGGCGGAGTTACTCGGCCTCGTTCTATGGTTGAGGCGAGTCTTTTTTCGAGTAAGTTGTACATCATGTATGTATCAATAATATATATAATATGTGAATTTTTATGTTGAATACGTTCAAATCGCCTGTTGGGCCCACTTGATCCATTATCATACACCTTAGCTTATTACCTAGTGTTTCGAGACTAGACCAAGGTCACTCAGACTTGGCGGAGTTATTCGACCTCGCGCTATGGTTGAGGCGAGTTTTTTTTCGAGTAAGTTGTACATCATGTATCAATAATATATATAATATGTGAATTTTTATGTTGAATACGTTCAAATCACCTGTTGGGTAGAATGTGTGGCTACTGCACGTCATGTTGTAGGTTCCAATCTCCTTGTGAACATTGCCTGATGTTTGTTTTGTACTTGGCCCTTTTTTTTACAAGATACAAAAACAGTTCCAAAACTCAAGTTTGGGGATCGAGCTCGAGATCTCTCGGACTGAGAGGCAAGCAAGGGCAGTAAAGATAATAAGTATGCCATCTTGGTTTTTATGTAAATATATTGCAGGTCGTAGATATATTAGATTTTTTTCTTGTTTTTTTATTTTTTTAACTTGGCTTGGATTGGGGCGAGTTAGTCAGACTCGTTTGAGTAACTCGCCTCAGCCTAGGGCTGAGTACCTTGGCGGTGCCAACTCTTAGAACACTGTTATTACCAATGCCATAGTTATAGTATTCCAATTTACTACAATAATACAATTTAAATATGGTAAATTGACTTACTATGATATTAAATTTTAGTTTTTTAATATCATAATTCTAGCATACCACGATGTGATATGTGTCGTAGTTTATCGTATTCTAAAGAAATAAATCTATAATACCGAGGAGCAATAGTTCAATTAATGCTATAGCTCCGGAGGGCTACAAGCATGTAGACTGAGATCCCATTTTATAGGGAGCGAGATGCTTGCTTCTCTGAACCTAGCTCCCTCTAAGATCCCTTAGAGGAACCGTGGGATTGAGTTCCCAAGGTGGGACTGTGGCCTTACCCCCAAGGTTCTTGCAACTATGGATATGTCAATTTGTTTGAGGTTTTACACATGTTGTTTCATTAGTCATGTCAATATGTTTAAATTGAAAAGTAGTTTATATGTAATAACAAGTTCTTATATGCTTTACTTAAATATTGGGT